GGGTCAGGAAAGTCTTCCCAAAGGAAATCAAGTCTCATTTCAGAATTCACTGTGTAGGCTCTAGGGAAGAACATTAGTTTCTACTAAATTAACTTACTTTGTTCTCAGATTCTTCCAAGTTGATTTTGGACTAGATAGAGCAAAACTTAGAAATTCAACACCATGTAATTAACTTTGCCAATGTTTCTCCCACTGTGATTCCTGTATCAGCTGCATCAGTCACCCAGGGTCTTGTTAAAAATACAGATGGGGTGGGGTTGTTAACGAAGGTAGGCAATAGGGACCATCGGCCTGCACTTACTTTTTCTAACTCTCCTGGGGGGAGAGGTACAGGAAAACTGTTGCATTAAGCGTGAATACCCTTGGGAATTCTGAAGTCAAATAGCACATTAAAAAGGATATTTTGGGTAGTGGTTCCAAATGGTTCTTGCTTCAATATGGTCTCCCTCTTTTTTTTTGTTTTGATGGGAGTATAGGAGAGCCTCCATTTGTGGGGAATTGCAAATGATATAGTTGGGATGAGTGCTACAGTGCAGGCTGTCAGCCCCCACCTCTCACCTGCAAGGCGGCTGGCTTAGGGTAGGTGCTTGATAAATGATTTGCTGAACACAAGGGCACATGTATTCATAACTTCCAAGACTTCTCAAAGTCCTTTCTGTTAGCTTTCTGCTCCAATCTTTCAGTGTCTGGCCAGGAACAGAAGCAGCATAGTCAGTGAAATAGCAAGGATGTGCAGGAGTTTAGAGAATACTGAGTTCAAATCCCCAGACCAAGAGTTAGCAGTTGACAGGACCAATTTCTTTAATCTGCCCCAACCACAAAGAAGGAACACAGATAGTTGTTAAATTCCAACGTTGTTAGAAGCCTTAAAGGAGATTAAGTATTTATTATAAACAGGTATCAATGGAATATATTATAAATGCAATGCTTAGAACCGTGCCTTATAAATGAGTTCCATAAACGCTCATTCAAGCCTGGGCGGTACACTCTCTCCTTGCCGTATGTAATAGGTCTCCTTAAAAACTCACTATCTCAGAGCAATCATCAGCAAAAAAAAGAAAGAATAAATGAATAAACGAGAAAACCAGGCAACAAGCTACTGCAGCCGTGGGGTCCAGCCGGGAGACTCCCGGGGCCCGGAAGGGGCGCGAGAGTGGGCTCTCCCGCGCGGCACGTGGTCGGCTCGGGCGGGAGCTTCGCAACAGTGGGGGAGGGGAGCAGCGTGGGACGTCGCGGAGGGGGTCTAGACCGCCAAGGCTACGGTTGAGGAGGCGCCCATTGCGCAGGCTCGGGATAGACGCAACCACTGTGCGACGATCCGAGGGGGAGGATGTCAACCCAACTTCACGCTCCCTTTATCCGCTTGCAGAGCGAAAGCTTGCCGGTTTTCGCATTTTAAGACGGTGTATGGTGCCGCCCTGCCCAAGCGGTTCATCAATAGAAGGCCTCTCTCATCCCGAGCCTGAAGCGGCCTCTTTCTCCAGTCGTGTCCCTTCTTCCCCCGTGGAGGACACAGTGGACGCGCCCCACCTCCCTGCGGCCTCCGGAGGTGGTTTGGCGGCCCCCTCCCCCTCCCCAGTGTCGCGAGTTGGCGCCGCTGCCAGCCCCCGCTCCGCGCTCTTGGCCCCTCGGCCGGGCGGTACCGAGCCCTCTCGGCGCCCCCTCTGATCCTCCCTCCGACCTGCCCTTCCCCGCGGGATCTGCCACCCCCACCTTTCCCCCAGCCCTCTTCTCTCCCCGCCGAGCCGCGGCAGCAGCAGCAGGAGGAGGAGCCGGAGTCCGGAGGCGGCGGTGGCCGGGGAACCCATGGCGTACAGTCAAGGAGGCGGCAAGAAGAAAGTCTGCTACTACTACGATGGTGAGAGGCCGGCCGGCGGCGGAGTGGGCGGCCGGGCTGCGGCGCCGAGCCCGGGGCCGCGCCGAGCTCCGCGACCGCCGTCGCGAGTGGGCGCCGGTGCTGAGGGGTGGGAAGGAGGAGGGACCGACGTTTGGCCGCGTCTTAACCCATTCCCGACCCTACGTGGTCGGCGGGAGACCCTCCTCCCCAAGCGACTCCCGCGGACTCTGCGGGCGGGAATCGGGGAGACGCCCCGCTTGCCTCCTGCCTCATTCCCTCCGGCGGTGCGGTCCGCACCCCCGACCGAAGGTGGCCGCCACTGGGGCGGCCCGGCCTACCCGGCTTCGTGGTAGTGGCGAAGGGGACGGCCCTTCTTCACGCCTCTCCCGCCTGCCACTCGTGGCAGCGCAGGTTTAGGGGTTCCCTGCGCCGGACTTCTACACCGATCCCTCCCCGAGTCGAAATTTCTGCCCTGGCTGTACACAAAGCCCCGCGGCCGAGAAAGCTCCGCCCCTCTATCCCCCTCCCCTCCCCCATTCCCGCTTGCTCCCCTCCCCTCTGTTCTGTCTGGCCCGAGGGTCTACTCCTTTCTCCCTCAGACCTCACCCAGGACCCCTCCACCTAGGTCGATGCTGAAAGTAGTTACTGCGGGTGGGGGCCCAAGTCCGGCGTGTGGCGCTGTCACACCCGTGTTTTGCGTGGGCTCCCACCCTCTCCTTTGTTCGCGGGGTTTTTCGAGCGCCGGTTTCTCAGGATTCAAATGGGCTTCACTTCCTCAATAGCAACAATTAAGGTTTTCGAGTTCGAGACAGGTAGCCTTCGCAGGAAATTAGAGGAGGTGGTAGGGAAACGTGGAGCTTTACTGCTTGTGTTTTAGACTAGACTCGATGGGTCCTAGCTTGCCTGGTTACCACCCACTCCTTTGTTGCTCTTTGTTCGATCAGGAAACAGATCCTGCTTTGGAGGTTTAGGAGAGCATTGGCATCTTACTTGTGAAGGCTCTTTCTTGGTGGTGGGAATCTTGGTGTAGGAAAACTTTGGGGAGTAGTGCAGAAGTACTAAATATTCTAATCAGGTAAGCTTGAGTTCGTAGTACAGTGAATTATAAAAGTCAGATAATTTAATTTTAAGGGTTCTCTAATTTGGAGTATGAGTAGTAACATTAAATCTCTAACTCTGTTTACTATGCCATTCTAAATTATACTCAGTGGAGTAGTAGCCTGTTTTACAACTTTCACAAATACTTTAACTTGGTAAATCTAGTTTCTAGTTGGTTACTCTTGAGAGAAGGAATTCCAAAATTTAACAGAGAAGGTAGCCTCAATGACCTCAGAGTCCTGTCTGATTTGTACAAAGCAATACAAATTTTGGAAACTTTTTCCTACATTTGGTGTGTTGTAAATCTATCAATATCTTAGAGAGGTAGATGAGACCTTAGAGCACCAGTTCAGAATAAATCTGACTTTAATTGAAAATGGCCATACCATCTCTTCAGTTAGCAAGGATTGATCTTTTAATGCCTGTTTTATATAAAATAACCACCTATGTCGTTTGTAGGAAGATCTCAAATCTTACAGAAATCTAATTTGTCTGACCTATGATAGCCAGGACAAAATAGTAACAGCTCTATTTTTAAAAAATATTTTTTTAGAAGACCACATAGGTGTGATATATAAATTGATTTGATACTGTGCCATCGTGGAGGGGTAGAGATGGAGTACATTTTAATTTTAACATGAATTACATTGCATATTTTGTGTTATTCTTGCCCTGCATTCTCTAATCAAATTGGAAAGTCAGTAACCCTGTGTATAAGTTAATTTTAAAAAATTATATTGTTTCTAAGGTTTAGAGATTTATTCTTGTCAGGGCTCAGGATGAAGGGGAAAGGTTTAACAGGGGAAACTGGTGCTAAGGTTCTTTTTGTAGCTGTCAGTTGCTGTTGACAGTGATGAGCTTTGGTGGAGTAAGCTGCTTATAACTTCTTGTCACCATGCTTGAGCTCAAGAACCAGGGAGTACACTTGAGTAGCAGTTTCCTGAACAGCTGTCTGTTCCTGGGCCCATTTGTGATGAGCCAATTGTTGAGGCAGTGGGAGCAGACCCTGGTTCCAGGGGCAGAATGAAGGCTTGATAGGTAGAATAGGCTTGATAGGTAGGGAATATTTAAGAGTCTTGTGATTGTGACTTAATCTAATACTTTATTTTGTAGCCCATTCAACTGCTTTACCTGATGGTCAGAAACCAGGTGCATAACTTTGATAGTTTGGAAATCTCTGGTGGGTTATCTGGTTTTTGTCCGTGTCTCTTGTTTGACTTGTCTTTTAGAATGGAGTTTTTAGTTGCTCACATTTCAAATATTCTTTGGGTTAGGGGGGCAGTTAATAAGATATTTTACAGAGGTTATTAAGTTTCATAGGTATTATGCTAATTATTAATATGTGATAGCATGCTAAGCTCTACACAATTAATTCCAAAAATTACATTTTTATTTGCACAAAAGTCCTGTTTTGTCAGCTTATAAAAGCGGCAATAGTAATTTTTTTTATTGTGAAAAGCGAGAATGGAGGTAAAGCAGCTTCAGCATCAGAGAATTATGTATTTTAGGTATATAACAGAGATTAGATTGGAAGTGGGTCATATCAGTAGTAATAGGGCCTGAATCATCTGCTAGTCTAAGTTAGTGGGTTTTAATTTGTTGGTAAAGGAAGTAGAAGGAAGAAAAAGAGGAAAGGAGTGAAATAGCAACTTCTATAACCATACGAATCCTACCTTTAGGCTCACTGGGGCCATTAGGCACATTGTGAGCCTTTTGGTGGCACAGAAAATGTCTACCATTGGGGCAGTATGCATCTCAATGGAAGGGCTTCTCAAGATAATACATATTCTTCTCTGCACACTTTGTCGTTTTCATTAGATCATTTTAGTAGGTTGAAATGCTAGTCCCAGGGGAACCCTCAAATATTTGATGGATGAGTTATCCTTAAACCTTTGAAGAAGAGAGAAGTTACTACTTCTCTAACTATAGCTATTGACTCATGCCTCCAAAGTTTCCAAAAACATACAAGGTCTGTCCAGAAAGTATCCAGCCACTGTTAATATAATAGAATGGTGTGCATGACATGGATGTGAGTGAACTGGAAGGCGCATGTGCGAACAACGACAACTTCACTGTACTAGTCAGTGGGTTGCTAGATGCCTTTGAGTGAGCATGTGTACTGTGTGGCCCTTGCATTCTAAATGGCTGAGCTAGTAGAACAAGGAATCTGCATCAGATTTTGCATTAAGCTTGAGCATTCCTCCACAGAAACTATTCGGATGATTCAGAAGGCTTTCTGGGGCAACACGAGTGCAGCACAAATAAAAGTATGGTACAAACGCTTCAAAGATGGCCGAGAATCTGTTAAAAGTGATCCACGTTCTGGAAGGCCTGCAACAAGCAGAATACCTGAGAATGTTGAAAGTGTACGGGTTAGGTTAAGAGACACTGAGATAACTGTGTGAGGTCCCAAGGTGCCTACTCTGAAGGGAACTAAGGCATGGTCATTGTTCTATGTATAATGTTTCTAGCATCTTGTATCTTCAATAAATGTCTCTGTTTTTCATAGTACGTGGATGGATACTTTACAGACAGATCTCATATTTCTAAATCGTGTTTACTCTTTTATATACTAGAAGATTACCGGCAATCTGTAAAATGATACAGCTAATTAGTCACTATCCCTTCTGGCCTTAAAATGATACCACTTTTTTTTTTCTACTTAAGTATAGTTGGCAAGTGAAGCTGTGTTAGACTCTTAATTGCAATATTCACATTTTTAATGCTTTATTTAGAAATGCTAACTATACTTTGTTTCAAATTAAACTTGAGGCCAATCACATTTAGTGCCTATTTTATGATGTATACAATATAATAGGATTACACACACACACACACACACACACACCCCTAATTTATATAATTATACACAAATTGCTCTGTGCTTTTTTTCCTCCTCTGATAGGAGTACACAATGTTTAGAGATAGGTGGGCCAAAGAAAAGTATTCAGCACTATACAAAGAAAATATAAAAGTTAGCGAGATCATGCCTCCTGTTGTACTCCTAATTTACTCTAGCAGATCATAGAAATTCTACTTGGCAGCCCAACTATTGTCAGATTTTCTTAGACTTTTACTTATAACAATGGTGCAAAAGTGTTTTGCTGGATAGCCTTTAATACAACTGTGTGGTTCTTAGCTGTGGTATAAATCTTTATTGTCTATGAAATAGGTAATCATTCCTTTGGGGGCAAATTAGAGTACTGAATGAATTACTGCAGCAGTTCATAAATACCAGTGCTGTTAATTGCGCTAGTTATTTACATGTAATGGAGCATGACTCTAAATAAGACTGCGATTTTCTTGTTTGACTCCTCTTCCCCAGAAATCCTTTACCCTTCACTTCCTTCAAATTTCACCTTATCAGAGAGGCTTTCTCCTATTACCTAAATATTACTGCTTTATTTTTCCTAACTTTTGTCTCTCTCCTCATTGGAATATAAGTAAGCTTCATGAAGACAGGGAGTCCGTCTGTTTTACTTATATCTGTATCACTACCAACTAAATTAAGAAACTTAAATGATTTTTGAATTATTGATGAATAAATAATTAATTCATCACTTTTATAGACAGCACTTTCATATAGTGTTCTTTAATTCTTACAACTGCTCTCAGTTTTGGACGAGGTAGGTGGCATGTTGTCTATTGTATAGATTAAAGCAGATTAGTATTCTTGTTTGATTTGATTTGATGTAATCCACCACTTCGCCTTTTTCACATTGACTAGTTTTAATGTCCAAGGAGAATCCAAAGATGTTTCTTTTTTCCTTTCCATAGAGTCTCTCTGCTACCAAAAAAAAGTATTAGTAATTATTTTTTTTCCTCAACAAAAACTTCTGAAGCTTCAGTTGACAGATCCTTAAAAGGAAAACAGTTAGAGTTAGGGAAGAGGGGTAATGTCTTAGAGATTAATTAATATCTAA